ATGGATGGCAACACTATTAAAAATATTTCTTTATTAAAATATTTTGAAAAAAGTTTATCTTAGTTTTTATTCCAAGAATTTATCAACTTAAAATTAAAAATAATTCATTTAAATTTTTAGTGATTTGGCAATTCTACAAAAACTCACTACTAAACTACTAAAATTATATAAAATCATTTTTGTTAAACCTTTAATTTATTTAAATTTTTTCGAAGGCGGCAACTCTATTGAATATATTTATATCTTTAAAGTTTTTAAATACATTTGTGTAGAATTTTTATATTCTAAACAAAATTATCAATGGATTTTATTTTTTTAACACCTTATAGCTAATAATATAAAATAATTTTGCATAAACATAATTTTTCTTGTTTAAACTGTTTTAGACAGGGTTCGCAAATATTCATATATGAACGTTCGCGTACATAAATATATGATACGCGAAGGTGAACGTATCAAATATTCTGTATTGATTCTCCTTCGCGAACGAGAATAATAAAACCAGCCAAACCAGTTAGGTGGAAAAAATGTCGGCTGTCGTTCTCGTTCAGTGAATGTAAATGCGGCGGAAAATATTCGCGGAAAGTTGGTGTGGCTAGAGATACTATTCTATGCAAGGCAATTTTGTCAATTGTATAAGATTTGCACTGCTCATTCGATTTTCAAAAATGAGGTGTCAAATGAAAGGGTTTATAAGGATCCATTTTTTTAATAGGGTTGCCACTTGCGTTTAAAATTATAATATTTACGCCGTTCTCCCGATTTTTAAAAATGAGGTGTCAAAAGAAAGGTATTGGCCTCTGGATGTGCAGTAAGGATATATTTTTTTAATAGGGTTGCCACCTGCGTTTAAAACCATGATATTTACACCGTTCTCTCGATTTTCAAAAATGAGGTGGCAACCCTATTAAAAAAAATACATCCTTACTGCACATCCAGAGGCCAAGCCCTTTCATTTGACACATCATTTTTGAAAATCGGGAGGAAGGTGTATGTATATATCATAATTTTAAACGCAGGTGGCAACGCTATTAAAAAAATCTATCCTTACTGCACATCCAGAGGCCAAGCCCTTTCATTTGACACCTCATTTTTAAAAATTTGGGAGAACGGTGTAAATATAATTTTAAACGCAGGCGGCAACCCTAATAAAAAAATATATACATACTTACTGCACATCCAGAAGCCAAGCCCTTTCATTTGACACCTCATTTTTGAAAATCGGGAGAACGGTGTAAATTTTATAATTTTAGTGGCAGGTGGCAACCCTATTAAAAAAAGATATCCCTACTGCACATACAGAGACCAAACCCTCTCATTCGACACCTCATTTTTGAAAATCGAGAGAACGGTGTAAATATTATAATTTTAACCGCAGGTGGCAACCCTATTAAAAAAAATATATCCTTACTGCACATTCAGAGGCCAAGCCCTTTCATTTGACACATCATTTTTGAAAATCGGGAGGAAGGTGTATATATCATAATTTTAAACGCAGGTGGCAACCCTATTCAAAAAATCTATCCTTACTGCACATCCAGAAACCAAGCCCTTTCATTTGACACCTCATTTTTAAAAATCGGGAGAACGGTGTAAATATTATAATTTTAAACGCAGGTGGCAACCCTATTAAATAAATATATCCTTA